CGATGTTTCTTGAAAGTATTCAAATTATTCTTATTTCACTCTTAAAGCTTCCTCTATGAGGAAGCCATAACAATGGAAGCAATGTGCAAATTTCTAATTAGAAAAAAAAGTAAAGTACAGTGTGCAAATTAGAAAGCACATGTCTTCCTGATAGAGGAAGCTTTAAAGGCGAAATAAGAATAATTTGAATACTTTCAAGAAACTTCGTAGTAAAGTTAGATTTCTCTCTTAAAGCTTCCTCTATGAGGAAGCCATAACAATGGAAGCAATGTGCAAATTTCTAATTTGCCTACTTTAATGATGAGGAAGAAATGTGCAAATTTCCAATTTGCACGCTTCAATGATGAGGAAGCAATGTGCAAATTTCTAATTCGCACACTTTCAAGAAACATCGAAAAAAGTTAGATTTCGCTCCTAAACCTTCCTCTATGAGGAAGCCATGTGCAAGTTTCTAATTTGCACACTTTATTTTAATTAGTCTCCGAAATCGATTTTACGACTATTTCTTCACCTTTGTATATTTTATCATCCAAAAGAAAAATGAAAAGAATAGATGACTTTAATTTGATGTCATATTGACCAAAATATGACATATATTTGGTCAATATGACATCAACTTGACATCATCTTGACTTTTTATTTTCCTTGGATATTAATGTGAATATAAATACGTGATAGGGGTCAAAACAGAAGAAATTCTGCTGTCTCACATTGTTGTTGAGAGCGTCATCGTAGTTATTCAAACCATTATGACTATACTCATAATCTTCCCCATATGGGGATTGGAATGTAAAGGATCAATATTCGCTGCTTTCGTCTTTATATTTCTCAACGGATTTTGTGGATTGATGTACGGTGAGTACTCCACTTTATATATCAAGAAGCGTACAGCAGCAATTCAGAAACTGATGGAAATTACACTGATTGTTTGTCTTAATGCATTTGCAGGTTTTGTTATATCTATCTTTTGCACATCTTTTTTCTCGGCCCTCTTCTCTTCATCCGGAAGTTTGTTGCCGATGATATCACTGAATGGTGAGATTTGTAATCTTTCTGTTTTTCGGAAATAATTTCTTATTTGGATTTGTTATTAAATTAATTCTAAAATTAAAGTTCTTTATTACGTAACGATATATAAACAGTTCGCTTAGTCTCATATAGAAGAGTAATATATAAAATTTTATAATAAGAAATAAATGTCAAAATTAACATTTACAGTATACAGCGGCGATTTATCTTATTATAATACATGAATCAAATTTTCACTAATATACTAATTTAACAAAATTGTAGGATACTTTTGACCGTTAAAGGCCGATGTTTTGCAGTGCACCTTTATTAAATTGATTATTTCAAAATTTTAATGATTTTATCATGTAACAATAGTATATTGTTAATATATATGTATATACATATATATAAGACTTTAGAAAATATTTGTTAAAATTAATGTCAACAGCATAAGGCTAAGTATCTTACGTTAAAGAAATGTTTATTTTATTAATACATTAATGTGACGAAATCATAGGAAGTTTATGGCCATTGGAGGGAATGCCGAAAGTGCTTCGCTGGATTAGCTACCTCGTACCAACTACATTGCCCTCCCAATCTTTGAGGGGAATCATTTTCAAAAATTCTGCAATATCTGATTCTGAAGTTTATATTGGTTTTTTTACAATATTAGGATGGATAATGCTGTTCTTTGTTGTAACTATATTTGGTATAAGATTGAAATCGTCGTAATATTATCAAGAAATGTAAAAAGAAGTTTTTTATCTACATGATATAAATACAGCCTAGCATTGTCTACAAAGTACAGTAGACAAATATATGCAGAGTGCGCATTTAAAAGTTTTACTGAATTAAATTAAATTGGTAAGATAATCTCGTTTCTTGTAAAAACAAATGAACAACACGACGGGCCAATAATAATACGCGCAATAAGAGGTGAATGTCTGTATGTACTTTAATATTTAGTGTATATTTTAAGCGAACGTTTCGGTGTCACAGCACCTTCATCAGCGCAGAAATTAAATTACATCAATATGATTTAACTATATAATCGTCTAATATATTTACAATAATCATGGTCAACGGATAAAAGATAAATATGAATTTATGAGCAATTAAACCAAAGATACATATTTTCGACCAACGCGCAACGCCTTCGCTTCAATGTAAAAAGTCCGTTATGTACTATTGTCCATAATTATTAAATTAATTGTAAGTGGGAGAATTCCGCCATTTCTCCTATACCATGTTTGCAGACAAGAATAGGATGCTCTTATTCAGTTTATCTGATCAAGTGAGTGGTCCATTCAAAGAATTATTTCAAATGATTTAATTTGGTGTTATATATTAAAGAATTTATTAATCGGAATTTAAGTGTATTAAGGTTGACTTACGTTAGATATCACGCACGCACGCACGCACGCACGCACGCACGCACGCACGCACGCACGCACGCACGCACGCACGCACGCACGCACGCACGCACGCACACACACACACACACACAGTTACCAATGGAATTTGAGATAATTCGAGAACAGAAAGGAAGCAGTCAGTATCATCCGCCTGACAAGTTCAGACTGAGCCGGTTGTGACAAGTAAAATTAGATATGTTTATAGCAATTATAACAAATGGTGTTTATCTTTACCAGGTTTTTTAATGTTGAAATCATATATACGCACGCACGCACACAGTATAAATCCGACCGAGCAACCTCCACATGGTACATACACCTTGGGTAATGCTAATGCTATAAGCGATACCTGAACTTTGTCAACTCATATCTCGAGAAGCACTTAACCAAAGAGAGTTTGTCTGTAGTGTTTTGGAAAGGTCTCGAGGTCACCTATAAGAATATGTAATCATAAATAGGGGGTTCCATTTAAAAAAATGGCAGCGACCTCCATATAATCATAAAAAATTAATTTTTTTCGAATATTAATTTTACCATTATATAGCCTTTTTAACACCGTACAACTTTTGTCTGAAACATTTTTCCGTATCTCCCATATTATGGAGGTAATACACAATACTAAACGCTCGCACGCACACACACACACTCACACACGCGCGCGCGATGTGCAAAATCCGACCGGCAACCTCCACGTAGTGCACATTGGGTAACGCTAATGCCGGCGGTAAACATCATTTTTCAAGAAAATACATGGTTCGCTTCAAAGTAACTCTGTAAAAAAAATCGTAAGAAAATTTTAAAAAAGCATTTTATAGGTAAAATGTCGTAGATTGTGGACCTTGTATCGAATTTGTTGAGAGAAATTTTTGTATCGAGCTGCAATGTGTCAAATATACGTAATTTTCAGGAACAAAACAAGGTATTCTTTTTTAAAACACAGAACGAAGAAAATGAACATATTTAAATAAATCGTTGACAGGGTTTTAAAGCTGAAACTTCAAGCTTTAAAATGCTTTTTTAATTTTGAGTCTACGATAATTTTTCGCTGAGTTTCAGTGGTTTGAAAATAGCCCAACTTTTAGGGTATGAAAAGTGTTTCCTTTTTTTTTAGTAGTGTATTTTATTAGAAGAAAAAACATTTTTATCTTCTCTACAAAAGTAACTTCTCTACAAAAGTAATGATATCATTAAATTGCGACAACTAAAATGGATATTTTACTGCAATATTATAATGTTACTTATACATTACGTAATATTATATGCTACGTGGGTTTAGAGCGCTGTATAGAAATATTTAAGTCGTATGTTCCCACACAGCACCGAAATATTTCAGAAAGCTCTCAAAAAGCTGTCAATGAAATATGAAACCTTTCAAAAAAATATTTCAGATATGTTTCAGATACATGAAATGTCCGCGAAACTGAGATATCATAAATGTTTCTGAAATATTTCTGAAATGCTTCAGAAATATCTCTTAAATGCTTCGGAAATATTTCTGAAATGCGTCGGAAATATTTCTGAAATGCGTCGGAAATATTTCTGAAATGCGTCGGAAATATTTTTGAAATGCTTCAGAAATATCTCTTAAATGCTTCAGAAATATTTCTGAATGATTTCTATATTACATATCAATATTAATTTCCAAGTTATATGTTGGATAGCTTTCAATAATATATGTTTTAGAGATTACGTACGAAATATTTCTCTGAAATGTTTCGTAATATTTCTGAAATATTTCAGTGAGAAGGATCATAAATGATTTCGATGAAACATTTCAGAAATATTTCTGAATGATTTCTGTATTACATTTCAATATTAATTTCCAAGTTATCCCTGATGGAAAAATTTTGCTGAAAACGTAATGAAATTTGCTGAAATTTGGTTAAAAATCTCTTGCAATTGACCCAATTTCATTCTCATTTCAGCAATTTTTGATCATTAAAACATTTATTTTCAGTAAAATTCTGCAAATTTCATAATATACATTTCAAATTTTTTTTCATTAATTTTTAGTAATATTAATTCATATTAATACTAATATTAATATTAATTTTAAAAAAAATCATAAGTTTATGAAATTCAATGAAATACTGTGAAATTAGATGAAAGTTAATTAATATTACTAAAAATTAGTGAAAAAATTTTGAAATGTATATTATGAAATTTGCAGAATTTCACTGAAAATAAATTTTTTAACGAAAAATTGCTGAAATGATAATGAAATTGGGTCAATTGCAAGAGATTTTCAACTAAATTTCAGCAAATTTCATTACGTTTTCAGCAAAATTTTTCCATCAGGGATATGTTAGATAGCTTTCAATAATATATGTTTTAGAGATTACGTACGAAATATTTCTCTGAAATGTTTCGTAATA